CAGCGTTACCTACCCGCTCCACGTCCTCGAAGGTAAAAAGCTGGCACTTATCGGCTACCTGCGTGGCTCTCAGCTTCTCCACGAGAGTCCAGGAGAACAAGTTCACCAGGAACTTGCCCGTGTCGTCCATGGCCTCGAGGGAAGGCGAGGGCAGCTCGCTCATGTTGGGGTCCACGTAGTCGGCGGCGCTGAAGCCGCCCCTCGACAGCGCCTCGTAGAATTCCTGGCACAGGCCGGGCGGGCGGCGGTCCTTCTCCAGGGCGCGCAGGAGCTGCTCGGCCGCTTCCACGTCCCCGCGGCGCTCCGCCGCGGCTCGGATGACGTCCTTCTCCTCGTGGGGCAAAGAGGGCATCTGGTCCAGCACGGGGGCCACGCGCATGTTGCTCTTGATCCGCCCTCTGAAGCAGCAGATCAGGTACAGGATGGCCTCCTCGCGGGAGGGGGCCGCCGCTTCCATTCTGCCGTCCAGGGTCTCTTCGCTCGGCCAGGAGGACCGCCCCGTCTGCACGTGGGGAAGGGCGATCGTGACTGTTGCTCAAAAAGACAAAGCTAAAGCCAAGCAATCTCTCTCGTTGCTCTTGGAAGTTTTGTCTTTTCCTGGAGGCCGGAGCAATACTCCGTTCTTACCGATTGCTTCCTTTGCCACTGGGCTAGGCGACTCCGCCGGCCGCTTCTTATAGGACATGGCACTTTCGGTTTCTATTCTCGCCTGGTGCTCGGTTTCCAAACGCTGGTCGGCTTTTTCCTGCAGGCGAGTTTCGCTTTCCCGTGCTTTGCTCGCAGCACAAAGGACGCAACCACGGCGATCCGCCGTCCCAATCAACCCACGCAATCCTTCGCAAGGAATGGGGGGGGGGGACCTGTGTCTGTCTCCAGGGGTGGTTGTACCCCCATGCCCCGCTCCCAGCTAGGATGGCCAATACCGAGGCATGACTGGAGTGCAAAATGTCCAGGATCGCAAGTTCCCGTCCCTGCTGCATCCAGTTTGGCTCAAGGGTCACTTCCAGGGGGTTTGTTTATTGAGCGTTCATTCAGATTTGTTTACTGGCAGGTTACGCAATAGGGGTTTCTTGACTGTCTCTATTTTCTGGCGAGATTCAATCACATGCCTGGTAAGTAAAGCTGTTTTGAAGCACTTGGATATGGCTGGATGGTTACGTGGGAGCCGGTTGAAGTTAAATCCTTCGAAGACAGGTCCTTTGGCTGGGTCGGACGATATGGGATGGGGGGGGGGGGCAACTCCCATCTCTGCCAGCACCATCCGTTAAGAGTTTGGGTGTAATCTTTGACACCTCCCTTTCCATGGAGGCGCATATTGCAGCTATAACAAAGGCGGCATTTTTTCATCTCCGCCAAGCTAAGCAGTTGGCTCCTTATCTCTCTCGCCCTGACCTAGCCACTGTGATCCACGCGACGGTCACCTCCAGACTGGATAATGTAACTAGCTCTACGTGGGGCTGCCCTTGAGACTGACCCAGAAACTCCAGCGGGTGCAGAATGCTGCAGCGAGACTCCTTACGGGGTCCTCGCTGCGAGATCACATTCACCCGGTGCTATACCAGCTGCACTGGCTCCTGGTGGAGTACAGGATCAGGTTTAAGGTGCTGGTTTTAACTTTTAAAGCCTAGGACCCTCGTACCTACGGGACCGCCTCTCCTGGTATGTCCCACAGAGGAACTTACGGTCTTCAAACAAAAACATCTTGGGAGGTCCCGGGCCACAGAGAGGTTAGGCTGGCCTCAACCAGAGCCAGGGCTTTTTCGGCTGTGGCTCCAATCTGGTGGAACGCTCTGTCACAAGAGACTAGGGCCCTGCGGGACTTGAAATCTTTCCGCAGGGCCTGCAAGATGAAGCTGTTCCACCAGGCCAGGGCACAGCCTGACCCCCTCCTTTGGCAATCCTCACAGAACTCTAGCCCAGGGGTTGCCATTAATCTGATTTGAATTAATTTTATAATGAAATGATTTTAGAATGTTGTATTATTTTACTGTTTAGCCGCTCTGAGCCTGGCTTTGGCTGGGGAGGGCGGGATAGAAATAAAATTTATTATTATTATTATTATTATTATTATTATTATTATTATTATTAGAGTTTGGATTTGATATCCCGCCTTTCACTCCCTTTTAAGGAGTCTCAAAGCGGCCAACATTCTCCTTTCCCTTCCTCCCCCACAACAAACACTCTGTGAGGTGAGTGGGGCTGAGAGACTTCAAGGAAGTGTGACTGGCCCAAGGTCACCCAGCAGCTGCATGTGGAGGAGCGGGGAAGCGAACCCGGTTCCCCAGATTACGAGTCCACTGCTCTTAACCACTACACCACACTGGCTCTCAATAATAATATTATTATTATTATTGCAGAACAATTCCATTTACACACACACCAAAAAAGAGAGGATTTTTTGCAGGAATGTTCAGGGAAAATGCACTCAGGGAAGACTTGCCTGACACACTGACTGTTTAACCTCCCTGCAAACAAATCAAAATGGATGCTTTTTAGCGTGGCAGGTCCACACACACAAATTATCCATTTAAAAAATCACAAATGTTGCTTAGTTTCTAGAAACTCCCAGGCACACTCTACCAATGCTCAGTAAGTGGGCTGTCTGGAAATTTCAGTGTAATGTTAAGCAATTGTCAAACCACACTTTCCAACACATTTCTCCATAACTTTTCTTAACACCCAGAGTCTCTCTCTCTCTCTCTCTCTCTCTCTCTCCTCCCCTCCCCGTTTTGAAAAGTGGGTTTGTGGTGCCAGGATGGGTGCTGAATGTACTTCAGTTGTACAACATAAATTTGCTGGTATGTGACTACATCCCACCCACAAAATAGCAAAGGTTGAAATCTTTGTGGTGTTTTCAGCCAAAATGGCACGAGTCGTGTGCACACTTGGAAGTGAATCCTGTTGAATGAAGTGAGACTGCTTTGGAATAAACATGCTTAGAATCTGCTTGTAAGAGTGCTTTTACAAAATAAAGTAAAAATAAATAAATCCTTGTCTCTAATTCAAGTGTGTGAACTTGAGCTAGTGCTGAAGGGGATTTTATCAAAGCAGCCTTCTTTAAGTTTCAGATTCGCAGTAAGAAGGGAAGTATCGTTTCTAAGAAAACAAAAATACAAGTGACTGGCAATCTCCATGATAATAAGTGCATCTGGCATTTCACATTTTTATTTTCCCTCTTTATGGATTTTAAAACGAAGGTGGTAAATGGCTAGCAGGCATTGAAAGCAAAATCAGAACGAGTGGCCTATCACTTGACTTGCTGCTTATGCTCCCACAACTGGAAGCACTCCAGACAATCAAGTGCAGAATCCTAGAGATTGAATTCCAAACCCTTTGCAGTGCAGCCAAAAAAACCTGTTCCCCATTGAGGTTGGGAACTCCACCCTCATTTGGCCAGGACATTCCATATTCACACCAGCTTTACAATCCCCAACTACGCAGAGCTCTTGCCCTCGCAAGATTTAACGTCTTGCCAACTGCAGTTTTGCAAGGTAGATTATTGAAAATCCCATACTCTGAAAGATGCTGCCCTTGTGGTACAAACAGGTCAAATCCATCACACGTTTTATTTTATTGCCCATTTTATGCAAAAATGTAAGTATTTGGCTCCTTTATTGAAGCAGGGGATTTATCGCACTGACTCTCCCAGGGTGTCTTATCTGCTGAACAATTGAAGTAATGACGTTGTGGAGAACGTGGCAGGATTTTTAAATGACACTATGAAATTACATCACCATGGGTCCTAAGAGCCATTTTCGCCCCTCACAGTGTATCTAAAGTATCTCCTACCATGTTTCGTGCTGTGTTCTGATCCATGTATACGATGCACTATTTCTATGCCAATAAAGGAGATTGATTGGTTGAAATTAAGGAGGAAATGCCAATAGAGAGATTCTGAAATGGAACCAAACAGACATGATGAAAGCAGTGCCAATAACATTTCTATGCTTTATTTCTAGCTATTGCATCATGTTTGCATACATACCATATAAAATAAAAGGTCATCAACAATGCAGCTATCATCTTCAATTGGTTTCCTTTCATAATGTGAAGTGAAAGTTGCCTAATATTTCCTAATATGAAATGTTTACATAATGCAGTGACCATGGCCTGCTCTGAAAGGCATATTTGAGAAGAGCAAATAAACCACCTTGGTGCGCTACATTGAAAGAGGTACAATCTAGAACACTTACTATCTTTGGCCCTTAGTACCTGAAGGACTTGCTAATTTCTAAAGCTCAGCCTCCTATTGCTGACATCTTCTGATGGGGCCCTGGGTCCCACATGGTCCTTGGCATTCAGTTAGCCTTTTACCAGGGACTGAGCCTTGATGTGGCAGTCCCTGGTCTGTGGAACTGCTTACCAATAGAGGTTTGGCAGAAGTCCTACCCGATTGTTTTCTTAAATTTGTCAAAAACTGTTATTCGGACAGGCCTTTTCAAACCTGAGATTCTTTGCTCAGTTGGCCTTACCGATGTGTCTGACATTCTTATTGTTTTTATTGCAGTATTGGGTCTTCTGGTTGCATACCACCTTGTGATATTTAATATGAAAGTGAGATTTATAAGTACTTCAATAAAGCTACCCCATTAAAAAAAAGAGAGACGAAAAGATCTGGTGGCATTTGATCTTTGTGTGAAGTGAACAGGATGCTTCTACATTGCTGTGGACTCAGTGCTGCTCATGGATGTAAAATTGCACAGCTTCTACACAATGTTGCCCTCATCAAAATTATTTTTCCATTTAATCCAGGTTTAGCATTTCTATGGAGAATCAAGTAGGATAAAAAAAGTTTTATTGTTAGTTTTTAATCTGTTCTTATAACATTGTTTTTATTATTATTAATCTATTGTGTTCTTATAATACTTATTTTAAATTGTTATAATACTATTTTATTATTAATTAAAATTTAACAACAACAACAACAACAATTTTATTTGTACCCTGCCCATCTGACTGGGTTGCCCAACAAATGTAAAAGTTAAACGCCAAACATTAAAAACTTCCCTAAAGTTTTATTGGCTTTACATTGTATTTTTGTATACAGCTTATATATTTCAAAATACTAAGCAGTTTAGAAATGCTTTAAGATAAAAAAGTAAGATAATGGAACACCCATAAAATGGAATTTGGAACAGGGCCTCATCAAGAAATCTTAAGTGTCACAAGGGGCCTGCTTCTTAGAGAGTCCAATGGCTGCCCCACTATCATAATATATTTCATAGCCATTCAAACTCCTACTGCATCAACAGATTAGACTATCAGCACCATACCACCTGTTGGGTCTCCACCACCGCTGGCAATAGCTGAGGCTGGCAATGGTTAAGGCTGACAGTGACATCATCTTGGCCGCAAGAGATGATGCTACAATACTTCCACTGATAAATACCATTTTTGTGAGCACTACTGGAGCACCAAAGCACACAGAGATTCCTGCCAGCTTTCTTTCCCATGCTGACTAGTCATCTGTGAGCCGGCTTGCCTTGGTTTGGGATCTGCTGCTTCTTTCCTTGTCACGAATACCCAGGGGCGAGGCATTGTAAGTTTGCAACAAACTGCATTTCATAGGAGAAGGGGGGGGGGAAAGATTTAGACACATGGATATTGTCTGCAAGATAACTTCACACACACACACACCACTTTACTACTATCTGCCTGCATCTTGAAGAAATATGGCCTGTGATGTATTACTGTGGTGACATGATATTTTGCCCATAAAGAGAATAGTTCTTAAATCTTTTTTTAAAGAGCTATAGCAAGCCATTAGCTACTCAGTCCCCCCACGTGAAATGTGGAAACCACAATTTGCTAATTAAATACATTTTGATCATACAGGTTTTAGCAAACTCATTTGCATTGCCCCAAGTTTGCTTGTGACACACAGACGCAAATAGTTTGAAGCAAAAAACAGTTTTGTTTTGTTTTTCCACTGAATTGCCACACTGTATCTGTTGTGTATTTTATGTCTGTTTGGACTTACTGTTTGGTTGTTTATTTACAAAATTTCCATGCCACCTTCAACAAAAAGCCATCCGGGTAGTTTACAGAATTATAAAATAGAGTCTCTTAACTTTTTTTCAGGGCCTGGGAGCACATTTGGAAATCTGAGAAACTGGGGTGGGCGGGCACCATAAAATACCTATTATTTCACGCACAGAAAAAATGAATGATGCTCAGAAACACTCCCTGCCTCCCTCCCCCCAAAAATATCACACCTGGAAACAAACAATACACAGGCAAAAATCGACATTCATCTAAAAAAGAAAAGAAAATACTTGCAAATCATACCCAGAAAGACAACAACAAAGCATAAAAAAATAAGTAAAAAAACCATATTGGAAAATTCCCTTGATGCTCCCTATCCCCCCGCCCCTCAGCAAACTCTCTTTTCGGATTTTAATGGCGAAGACCCAGAAGTGCTCTATCTAGGCAACGGGATGCATTACTCCCTAACTTTTTTTGTCTCTGTGGCCCGTCTAGCGGCCTCCAAGGCGGAAGAGTTTCATATGCCTGTCAGAGTGGTGCAAAACAATGGCCTGATCTTCACCCCGCCCCTCTACTTCCGGTTCAGACGTCACGGACGCCGTCTTTCTTCGAACCTGCCTTCCCTCACGCAGACACCCGAACTCCGCGGCCCATTTCACTCTTCCGCCCTTCCTCCTCAGCTCGGAGGCCTATCGCGAGCGGGGGGCGGGGCGAAGCTTCAGCCAGTCAAAAGCCCAAGGCAGCGGCCAGAGGGCGGGCGAGCGAGCGCCGCGAAGGAACTTCCGCTTCTCCGTACGACGACTTCAGGAAGAAGGAGGAAGCCACCGCGGCAAGAGCTGGCGAGATAGCGGAGCGGCCGTCGTGGTAGATTCGAGTCCGGCCGAGCTGCGAATCCGGGAAACGGCTCCCCCTCCCCCACCCCGCTCTCAACGGTTTTTTCCTCTCATAAACGTCGACATGACGTACCCAGGGTTCGGAGCGGTGAGTAGAAAGGGCGTGATTGGAGGGAAGGCCTGTCTGTCGGTCTGTCCGTCCTTCTCTCCCCCACCCACCCGGCCGGGTCCTTTTCTCTGGCGGCGCGGCTGTCAGTCTCTCCTTGCTCGTCCTCGCGGTTGGGGTCAGAGCCGAGGGAGCCCGGCCGGCCCTTCAGGCTCCAGGCCCTTCTTTTTAAGGCCTTCCCGAAATTGGTCTCCTTCCGCCGAGCGCCCCCCCCCCCATAGTTGGCGGAGAAGCCATTAATGTGTGCAGCGCAAGAGGCGAGGGAGAGAGGGAGGACTCTGTTCTCTTACAGCGGGAGGAAATGGAAGGCGTGCCTGACTCTGACACATCAAGCGAGCTAAAGGGTTGCCATTTTAAAAAAGAAAAGAGGAGGAGGGGGGGGGAAACACCTCTCCCTTTCTTTCTCTTCATAACTGGCCCAGCCTCTGCCTTGTGGATGACGTACCGCTTGCCATCCTATTAAATTTGAATACTTAATTCATGGTTGTGGAGCCACCGCTTAAAGGCATAGCAAGAAGATTTTTTGAGTGCTTAGGCCGTGCTTCTAGAAACTGGGCGATCTGTTAGAGCAGTACTGGTGTTTTTAGGTCCCTTGGTTAAAAGCACTGAAAATGCACTGCCGTAGGTGTAGGAAGACAGCGGGTGGTGCCTGGGGAAATCATTTCAGCTGCCGCAGTCTTTGCTGATTTTAAGCTATCTAATGTGGGACACTGGGCCCTGGGGGGGGGTTGCAGGGAAGGATAATTTGTCTTTTGTCACTGCTCTGCATCCCAGGTAAATAAGGTCATGACTACAGGCTGAATTGATTTTTAAAATGTCAGGCAAGTTAAAGGTTGTAAGAATGGATGAATAGCAACCCATCCAATCTTGCTTTAAGAGAATTGGAAATTTCTTTGCCTTTTGACTAAAATCAGGTGAAATCTCCTTTTTTATATATAAATTTGTTTTTTCAAATTAAAGTTTTCCAATCACATATCCAACATCATAAAAACAAGATTTCAAAAAATCTCCTGGACTTCTCTCCTCCCCTTTGATCTGGAGGGAAGATCAGGTGAAATCTCAAGCACCTCTTTGCTACCCCATTAATATATATGTATGTGTGGCTAGAAGTCTAGCCTTAAACTTTAACTCAAATTGAGTCAGAGTAATTGTTTTATTGCATCCAAGTGAATTTGGTATATATAAATTTCTAAGTAGAACTGTTTTTTTCTACTCAAAAATTAAAACTTGCAGACCAGCCTTGTGGTTGGCAGTAGTCAAATACTTGCCAGGTCTGTTTGGGAATGGTATTCAAGAACTTTTTCGATGACATTCAGAAAAAAAGCTTACCTTTCCTCCCTAAGAGTGTTTTCCTGGCATGTAATGCTAAACCTCCTACTTCCCCAAGCCCTAGAATAAGAAGCTTTGATGATAGTCTGCTTCCTGGCTTACTGCACAAATAAAAATAGTTTATAGTGGTGCTGGAATTCCTTCAGTTGCAGGAAACTAGTTGAAACAAAATACTGGTGTGCTTTGGACTACTTTGTATTTGTAAGGAGTGATATTTTTCCTCATTTGGCTAGGTACAGTGTACTTAGTTGAAGTAGCTTGCATCACCACTGCAAAAGTAGCTGAACTAGCTAACTTTTTCTTTGCTGGTGCAATTTTGCAAACACTATTGGGGAAACTCAGATTTCCAGCACTACTTTCTGGTACTCCTTTATCTGGTTTGCTTCTGTTATGATGTTACTTTGTTGAACTGCCCTTTCTGTACTGCCAGAGTACCATGCCTCCTGTGCCACCATACCCTTACAAGTAGTGAATCCCAAATTAGTGGTCAAGAAAACTATCTGTTTCTATAAGTGTAAACGTTACCATAGTAAGATGTAGTGATATTAGAATTGTACTGACACTCCTTGAGTTTGTGAGGCATTTCAATTCAGTGAAAATAATCTGTTATAGACAATAGATGTTTGTGATGAGCTGGTAAATATAGTGACATATATATGTTCTTCTTTTCCTCTTCCTCAAAAGTATGGAGCTTACCGTGGGCAGGTGCCAATGCAAATGGCAATGGGTCAGCCAGTTCCTGGAGGAGTGCAAAGTGTGGCCCATGGTGGATCTCCTGGCTATTCTGTTTATTCTGGTGCCTATGCTGCAGCCGCTGCTGCTGATCCCTTGTGGACATTTTTCAGTGCTATCGCTGGACAGGTATGTTAGTTCAAGTTACTATCTTAAAGTTTTGAAAGAGGGCTCTTTGTTTTGATTGTAGTGTAAGGCATAGACTAGTCCTCAGAAATTTGTTTGCTAACATGTTAACAGTAACATCTGTATAGATCTGTCAGTGATTTGCAGCTTGAAAACATTGTAAATTGAAGATGGGCATTAGATAGTTCTATTTCTTTTTATTTCTTTTTTAGGGGATTGTGATATTGTTGAAAACTGGCCAAGCTTCTTAGTCACGTTCTTTTTCCACCTGGTCAGTCAACTACATGTGTAAATTTGGCTCTTACTTATAGATTTAGATATTAAGTTTTATTGTATCATCTCAAAAACTGTCTTGTCTGCAACTTTAATACATACTGCCTAGTCTTTGAAACAAAAGGTTCTCTTTGTAAGAATGTGGGGACTCTTAAATTTGATACTTTAGCTCCTTGGCTGCAAATCACTGAGCAGATAATTTTATTTCCAGGATTATATGTCATAAGGATGGGGAGGCTGGCTGTAACTGCCTTGGTGCTCCCTTTTCTATGCTGAGAGGATTATATAGAGTTTTGTATAGTTATTAATGAAGTAATAATTAAGTGAGCACTTTTAAATTTTGAGTCTGAAGCAGGCTTCTGGGTTGGAAGAGTCATATACATTGTATGTGGCTAGGTATTTTATAGAGTAGCACCAGTGTAATCTGGGCAAAAGGACTGGATAAAAAAAAAGGTTATAGTAAAGATTCACGAAAGGGCATATGCATGGCCCCACAGGTCATTGGTCTCTAGAGCGTTTTGGGACTTGTGATGCCAATATGCATTCTCTCAAGAGTGTGGATCTGCAAAGGCAATATTCATGAAGAACTCACCAGTTCCAGGTGAGTAACTCCTTTAGATTTTTCTCCCCTTGGCATTTTAATTTCTACAGTCTTTACCAAGCAAGGTTTCAAGTTGTTACATGTTACATCCTACATGTTAGCATTTCAGTAAGACATTTTAGGGAAGGCACAACTTTCATTTGTGATTGTCTTCTTCATACCAGGGGTACCATTTCAGATTTTGGTGCTTGTGTGGTTAAGCCAGGTCCAAAGGCCCACTCTTCACATTGTAAGTGATGGCTGCAAAGAGCCAGCATATTAAAACAACTGTATTTTAATGATCAACAAGGACCTTGGATGGAATAATAATAATAATAATAATAATAATAATAATAGCAGGCAACATTGCACAAGCCTTCCTTTCTTTCCTCCCCCTTCCATCCCCAAAAATCTGGTCCAGAAAGTCCTCCGACCCTATGGATAAGATTTTGGGGACAACATGAGAGGCTGAGGGAGATAAGAAAAGAAGGTAAACTCCTGTTGTATGACTTCAGGCCCTTCTCATTCATGCATGGACACTACTGGAGATAACCTAGTGTTACTCACATCACACATGACTTTTTAAAGTAAAGGCATTGAGGGCTTTGGTGTGCATAGATCCATTTGATTATATATAGTGCTCCTTTTGTAGCAGAGAAATGCTTCTGAGAATAATCACATGCCATCTGATGTAGCAACTGCCTTCTCTAGATGGCACTCCTAATCCACAAAAGTGGTCTTGGGTGGGAGTAACTGATCACTGCATGTAATGAATATGTAATGAATATTTTGGTACTATTTTAGTATCATTTAATCTCAGTCTAAAACAACCCAGTAGTTCTTTAACTAAAAAAAGGCTCAACTGCATAGCATGAAAGGAAAGCACTTTTGAATGGAGATATTAGGCATGGTTTCACACCACATTAAATTATAGTTAAGGTATTATGCACACTGTTGAAATTGCAGACACTGCTCCTCACTGACTTCTACTGGGTGCTGTCTAGAAAACAAGGCATGTTATGTTAGCCAAATGTAGGCTCATGGTTTGGAAACAAGCAGTAGCCTGAGTTTGGACAACATGGCAAACCATTCCATGGTTTGCTTGTTGGCAGAAGAAGGGAAGGAGTGAAACACTTGTGATTCCAGCAGGGTGCAGCAGCATGCTTCTCATTCACAGCAGATTATATTTTATTTTAATAATTACTTAATGCAAGATGTGAACTAGGTCAGAAGGTAGAACCTTATTTGTTATGTGTTGTTTGCATAGTTGCTGGGAAAACAAATGCTTCTGGCCAAATTCATGCTCTTTTACCTCTGGTCATTGGGACAAGCTGATAGATGAGGGGATTTTAAGCTAGTTGTTAGAACTCTGATACTTATTTAAATGAGCATGTGTGAATTTTGAGTATGCTTTTCTGAAGCTAGTCTAAGCAGTGGAAAGTTGATAGAGGATTGTACCTGAAGTGGACTGTAGGAGGGATGAGCAGGAGGGAAACT